TGGTGTAACCCTTTTTCCGCCAAAGGCCCCCCCCCCCCCGTTTTTTGCACACATGATATAATCCACATTTTAGGCCTGTAAATTACTTAGAACCCCCAAAATATTATATATTTTCTGGAAGCCAACACCCTGTATAATAATATGGTGGCTGTTGAAAAATTGTATGTTGCACGATATTGGCACAACTCTTTATCAAACCCCAACATTTTGTGAAAAATGTACTTAATTTAATTTAAGTGCCCCAAACGCAATAAAATATCAATTTTTCTAAACTATAAAAGATGAGGTTACAATGAGTAAATAGATACCCAACATGCCCAGGGTAAAAAATTGCAAAAAGGCAATAAAATTCAGTACCCAAAAAGTCCATTGACAACGCTTTAAAAGCCCCTACAGGTCATTAGTTTAGAGATATGCATAAATATTGGCCCTAGAATTATTGTTCTCACTCTGGAGTGTGTGGAGATACCCAATATGTATAGTGAGATCAACGATTCCGTACGCAGGCGCACCCGATGCATGTTTGCTTGAATGCACGTGCGTGATGCACTTCAATAGCTTATTGCTCAGCTTTAGTAGCAGAGCAATGACAGCTTAGGGACCAGAAGTGATGCAATCTGTGTCGCTCCCGGTCCCATAGAGTGGGGAGAAGATCGGTGAACGGAAGTTTGCAGCTTTGCCCCGCCACCTGACACGCCAGCTGGAGAGGCAGTGGAGCCCAGAAAACATATCTGGGGTCCAGCTAAGCCACCAGAATCGGTTCTAATGTAAAGCCGGCAGCTGGCTACATTAGAAAGTCCAGGTGGCAGTCAGTTTAGAGGGTAAAACAGCAAAAAGTTTCCAGGCACACTCACCAGCCAGCATGCACGGCTTCTGCAGAAAATGTGAAAGCCGCACAGCCACATCAAGGCACCTCCATATAGTGCGGTCCTGGTTTCTGCAGAAGACGTGTATCTCTCTGCTTTTAACCTTAGTGGTTAGACAGGTTTTTTGCATGCTGGCTGGTGAGTGTGCCTGGAAACTTTTTGCTGTTTTACTGTTTGAAGCCCTTCCGTGTGCACCTTGCTGTAAAGCTGGTAACGAATTGATGAGTGTGTTTGCCATTTGTTTTGCTAGTCCGTTTAGAGGGCCGAGCTGCCAATGACGTACTAGGTATGTCTATGGCCACGGAGGGGTTAAAAAGCTCCTCTCTAGGCCCTGTGTATATGCGTGTGAGATAGGAACCTTAGTTTGTAAGCTCCTTGAGGGCAGGGACCAATGTAAAGTGCTGTGTAAATTGTCTATGCTATATAAATACCTGTAATAAATAAATAAATGTTCATATCCAGAATATAAATTAAAAGAAAGGTTTGAACTCTTCTTGATGTGAGACTGATCTGGTCTAAGCCCCTTAAGGATAAGCAGTGTAGGTAACTTTAAATGAACATTTCCAGTTCTAAAGCATATAAAATAAAGGAACTGTTACACCACAAAATGACTCCATAGTATGGCCTGCAGTTTATAGCCCATTCATAAAATGCAAGATGCAGTGTAGAGGATGTGTGCAGTTTGTTTGTGTTTTGTACACATTGGCAAATAAAGGGATTGCTTTAAATTAATAACTAGATTGATTTTTTTTTTTTGCGTGATTCATTAATTTTTGATTTAACTTGCCATTGTATCCAAATACTTACATGGTTATTCACAAAAGAGTGAAGAGTTTGGAGAAGGCAGGGGAAGTGTACAATCCAGGACAACGTAACTGAACTGGAAAGTGAGCTGAATTGGAGTATTTTTCCAAATCAGCTATGTTGTCCCAGATTGTTCACTTCTCCTGCCTTCTCCAAATTCTTCACCCTTTTCATGGTTGACAAGTACTAATTATGTTGTACTGTGGTTTTTGTATGTTTTGAGACACAACATTTTAAGGGCATATTTATAAACAATTGAATCTGACATTTACCAAACATTCACTGCAGGCAAATCTTCCAGGTGCATGTTTAAATCACAGAGATTGATTCACCCGCCAGGGAATGTTTGGCAAAAGTCACATCTACTGCTTTATAAATATGCTCTTTAGTGTTCTATTTCAAAATTATCATACATTCAGGTCCCACATGTCATAGCACATAAAATGTCAAGTTGAAATGTTTCTACACTCACTTTAATTCTTCTAAAAAGTCCTTCCCAGGGAAACATCCATGAAAAGTAAAATGCTGGTCTCATTTCTTTTTATTTTAAACAATTGCAAGTAAGGTGTTAGGGCTAGTTCACACCAGCCACAGTGCAAGCACTATTTTTTTGGCGCGGATCGGAACGCAGGCATTGATGTGCCACGCGTTCCCGTGTGGCTGATCGCATTGCGGCCGGAGGGCGTGGCTACAGTGCCACTGAATTAAATGCATTGCCACGCCCCCTGCCGCCCCTTAACAAAGTGAGCCGGCCACAATGTGATCCAGTGTCTTCCGTCCAGAATCGGGCCGGAGCGCGCTGTGGCTAGTGTGAACTAGCCCTTAGAGCACCCACTGCATGATTGCTATGAAAACATAAAAATAAATAAATAACTGCAGACTTCAAACTGAATGTCATTTTCTAAAACACCTCAAGTAACAACAAACTACAACCAAAAACAAACAAATGAACACTTGGAGGCTGCGGGGGCCTCCAGTGCCGTTTCAGTGAGAATCACTTGTCTAGGTGCCCTTCAAAGGGTCAAACGTGACCATGATAATTTGCCTCCTATCACACATACAGTATGTGACTCATGCCAGATCACATAAAATGTCAGTTGAAGTGATTTTGCACCCACTTTTATTCCTCCAAACGTATACCAAAAGTCCTTCCCAGAGGAACATCAAACAAAAGACAAACATTAAGTATTGGTCTCATTTCTTTTTATTTGAAATGTTTGCAAGTAAAGGTGCCCATACACTGCACTGGAAATCCCGCGATCGTACGAGAATCGTGCAGTGTGAATGAAGACATGCAACCGTTTTTACTGTACGGTCGCACGTCTTTTGTCTAAGGAGCATGCTAGAAAACCAGCCGAAAATCGTACGATTTTCGGCTGGTTTGAATTATGCTCTGGAGACAAATGCCTAACGGGCCGGTGTGCGCACGCGCACACAGCCCGTTCAGCATTGCGGTCATCGCAAGCCGGCCCCTCTGGGGGGCGGGCTTGCGATGATCGGAAGTACGATCTGCCTGTCCAAGATGGGCAGATTGTCCGTTTTTTTAAGTACTTTACAACCATCGCAAGACTAAGGTCGTAAAGTGTATGGACACCTTAAGACACTAAAGCACACAATGCATGATTGCTGCAAAAAAATAAAGATGAATAAATCACTGTAGACTTCAAACGAATTGTCATTGACTAAAACACCTCAAGTAACAACAAACTATACCCACAAACAAAAGGACACTTAGTGGGAGACTATGGGTTCTTCCAATGCCATTTCAGTGACAATAACGTGTCCAGCTGCCTTCCAAAGGGTTAAAAGTGACCATCATAATTTGCATACTATTTACTTTTTGGGGTTGAACTGAATCTTAGCCAGGTAAACATGACATTTAGCACTGTATGGCTTCTTTTGTAGTATAAACTTGTCTTTTTGTAAATGTGCTTTAAAATGTCCATGTGTTACATGAGCTTAACAAACCATTGTTCAAACATGCAATGAGGGGAGGAAAAATAAATATTTTAGAATTTCCCCTAATAAGCCTGGATCTTTGAAGCAAGAAATTCCCAGTGTCATGCTACATAAGCAATAGCTAAAAAATTGTAAAGACAACAGATGGCTGAAAAGTTAAAGCAGATTGTGTAATACTATAAATGCACACAATGCAGTTGGTTCATTGTTCTGTATTATGAGACATCTGTAA